GGAGGTTGAGAGTTAGAGACTCAAATTCTCAAAGAAAGAACAATAAGTGCAACAAGTAAGCCAAGTTAACAAGGAATTAAGTGGTAGAGACAATATTGATTAAAAAAAATTAGCAGAGTGAATGATTTAGGTTTGTAGTTGAACTAGGTGTGACGGCGGAAGCACTGAACATATTAAATAAGTGTACGCAGGAGCACAAGTTAATTAAACCTTAAACGGGAATTGATTAATGATTAATTTGGTTTTATTTTTCGGTTAACTAATGAGCACAATATGTTTTTAGGTAGTGTATAATCAAGAAAGACAACCACTGGAAACTCGGTTGAGTTGGATTTTAAGCTAACAAAATTTACAAAAAACTCGACGGTACGTGTGAATTTGATTTCACACTAAAACTCCCAATTTCTAATTTAATTTTTCCAAATTGAATCTTATATATGATACCAAAAACCTTCAAATTAAAGAATATTACTGCCTATTTCATACAACAGAAAGAGAGAAATCAAACAGTAAAGAAAAAGTGACTACCTTGTAAGGTGCTTGTGCGTGTGCGAGGGGGAGTCTGTTGGCAGCGTGGCTGCGGAGAGGTCGAAGAGGAAGAGTAGAAGATGAAGGCCAAAGTCTTCTTTTAACTCTCTGGGCGTAGAAGTGTCTCTTAAATTTTATTTGGTTAGTCAATAGTTTGGACTTGTTTCATTTAATATGTTAGAAAAACTTGTCATGGGTCCATTCCTGCCTACGTTTTTTGACTAATACATGTTGTTTGGATAGAGATTTTTCTTTTCTTTTCATTTAGTTGGAAAAATGAATGAGTGTAAACTGAAGATTTAGGAGCCGCTAGGTAATTGATAACAATTTCGTTTTCAACTTTTGTTTTTCATTTTCTTTAAAATTAAATCTTGTTTGGTAACTACTTTCAAATTTTATTTTCTAAAGAAACAAAAATTGAAAACTGCTTTCTTAGGTTTCAAAATTTGGCCTTGAGATTTCAGTTTTTGGTTTTCAGTTTTCATTTTTTTGAAAACTTAAAACTAAATGTAGCTACCAAACAAGATTTCAATTTTCAGTTTTCAAAAAAGTAAAAAACAAAAATTAAACATGAAATGGTTATCAAATGGCTTACACCCCAACCTGGATACCCATGTGGATAAAAGTAAAACAAAAATTAAACATGAAATAGTTATCAAACGGCTTACACCCCAACCTGGATACCCATGTGGATACTGAAGTCAAGGCATAATGGCTGACACTACGAAGGGTGGCGAAGCCAAAAGTGATGGTGATGTGTAAGAACGAACAAATTAAAGCTTAAAGTTAAAACAAGAGTGCCTAGTGTGCGGGATGAACCCAATAAGTGATTATTTTTGTTTAAATTTGTCTCTCATGTTATCAATCACAAAAATAACTAACGTTTTAAAGACATCCATTCAAATAAGTTCGTCATGCATATGCATCCATGTAAGTAAGTCTTACTTGGTATTTAACTTGATTTGATTTTTGGACTAACGTTTGAGTGGTTGAAATACTTTTGGAGCAGCCCAATAATCTTTTAGTTGCCATGTTCTATGGAAAGTCAGTTGCAGCTAATTTGATAATGTTGACAATAATAATTTGTTCTGAATTCGTTTTGGGAGATAATCGAATTTAAAATGCCTCATTTTACAAATGAATGAGACTCTTTAAAGTGAGACTATTCATGGATTCTCTGTCACCTCATTTTTTTTTTTTTGCATGATACTTTATAATGTTAACACGACAATTATGTCAAAAAACATAATGTAACGGAAGTTCATGAAGAATCTCACTTTTTAAAAAATTCTCTTTAGCATTTCTCTTTTTTAAGTTATACACATGGAAGAAAATGCCGATAATATCGGCGAAATATTGCCGATATTATCGGTTTTTCGCGTAATGGATATTTAAATAGGTATCCAAATGGTTTTGTCAAAATATCGCGATATTTCCAAAATATCGCGATATTTTTTTGAACGGTGCAATCGGACTCCGAGCCGAACGTCGGAGAAGAACGCCGGAGATGGTGTGCCTATTCCCGAGCCGATTTCGTCCCAAAAACCTTGCAAAAACACGATTTTTAACTTCAATTTCACATATAAACTTCAAATTTCACACATGCAAGAGGTAATAAACGATTCAACATATGTGATGTCGGTTTAGGGTTTAGGGTTTCAATGGAATCTCACCTGAAAACTTGTTTTCTTCGAGTCGAAGACGAACCAGATGACTGAGCCAACTCCTTGCTCAGCGGTGCACCGCCACAGACGACTGAGCCAACTCCGACTTCGCCAAAGCCACGATCAACGGCGGTGACACCCAGAAAGCTGGTTTCTGAAAAGGAAGAGGGATTCGAGATTGTCGGACTGAGGAGCAGAAGGCCGTGGTGTGTGTGTAGGGGAAGGGAGAAGAGAGATCGAGAGATCTCTGTGTGTGTGTGTGTGCGTGGGAGAAGGGAGAAGAGAGATCGGAGAAGGGAGAAGAGAGATCGAGAGATCTGTGTGTGTGTGTGTGTGTGGGAGAGAAGGGAGAAGAGAGATCGGAGAAGGGAGAAGAGAGATCGAGAGATCTCTGTGTGTGTGTGTGTGTGGGGGAGAAGGGAGAACAGAGATCGGAGATCTCTGTGTGTGTGTGTGTGTGGGAGAAGGGAGGAGAGATCGAGAAGGATCGAGATTGAGAGAGATTGAGGTCGTGTCTGCGTGTGTGATGTTTGTGTGCGTGCGTTTGTGCGTGTGTGTGTTGCGTGTGTGGTTGCGTGCGTTGTGTGTGTGTGTGTGGGTTCCTCCTGTCAGGAGGACACATGACTCACTCAGTATTCTCGACAAGTTTTACAATTATTTTGACAATTTCAGACCACTTTTACAATTATAATTTGTATTCTTTTCAGACCACTTTTACAATTACTACATATTTTCTACACTTACAATGTTTGTTAGCTCGTTATATAATCAACTTGATAATGTTAAATCCATCATGCAATGTATTTCCTTCCAATTTTTTGTGATAAACTAATAGATAATTGACTAAATAAACATCCTGCAAAGTTTCAATAAAAATTTCCAAGTTTTTCTTACAATTTTCGTGGTTTCCATGTAATTTTTATCGATATCGATATTATCCCGATATTTCCATCGATATTTCCGTGTTTTCGGACTACTGATATTTCCGATATTACCGATATTTTCTTCCTTGGTCATACATATTATTGCCTTCACCAACAAAGAGAGAAATCATTACTCTGGGACTGCCCTTTTGTTTTCGTGAAAGTGAAAAGGCTGTTGCATTTTTTAGTTCTTTCAAAAGGGTATTTTACAAATCAAATGACATAGTTGATGATGATTAAATTATTACTTAAGTATTGATTAATATATTTATTTTCTATTGGTAACACATCATTTGAATCATAAATTTAGTTTAAAATTTGGTATCTCTAACATTATCATTTCTAAAATCTTTGAAAACCTTTTGGTGGCGGCCTTTATTCATTTTGAATTCATTGGTTTTTGAAATATAAGAGAAAAATGTGTTGTTGATTTTTATTTTGGGTAAGTTAGGAAGACCAATTTTTTAAACCAAACTTGCAAACAAAATAATGTGTCATCAATAAGAAACATACACATTAACTGACACTTAAATAATAATCTAATAATCCACAATCACATCATTTGGTTTGCAAATTTGAATTTTAAAAATTTAATCTCCCTAACTTTATTTTTTTATTTTTGAAAGAAGAGACAAAGAGGGCTGCTGCTTTTTGGCTCGACAGAAGAAAACGAATTTGGTGCTGCTGCTGCCGTATCACACTCACGCATATTTCTCAGTGCAGCATGTATTTTTAAGAGAAAATAATATTTTTCATGTTGTTTTTCACCTGGTTTTAATAAGAAATCAATTATAATAATGTACTTTTTAATTTTCATTATTGATTGATTTTTAAAAATCATTTCATTCATATATTCTGCTTGATCGCGTTAATATTTGCAATGCTTGAGAAGGTGTTGGATGGTCGCTTTAGTGTGATACTACTTCCATTCGAAGATTGAAGAGAGATAGAATAGCAAAACACAAGAAAAAACTGATTTCTAGTTGTATGTCTAGTTGATGAGTTTTGTAAGTCTTTTTGTACTCATTTCTCTTAATGTTTATTCTGACTTGAGAGCCGAAGATTTCCCCAATTGTAAGATTTGCCTTGTTAAATCCTGCATTTGGTGTGCACATTTTACTTATCTTTTTAATTGCAAATATGTAGGATAGTTTGGTATGTGATGTGGATCTGAAAACTAAATTGAAAGTTGAATTTGAATTGGATTTTTAAGTTGGAACCTATTCACTGCCCTCTCTAACTTAAGTTATTACCCATTCTAGAACTTTCAATTCCATTCTAGAACTATGAATTGGCACCATAGTAGATCACTAGAAATGCTTAGTGAGATCCATGGGTAGTCTAGGATGAATCGTGTTGTAGGTTCAATTAATTTCCCATCCACCACACTTTGATGGTAACAACTATGCTACGTGGAAAGCGAAAATGAAATCTTTTATGTGGGAATTTGATGACAAAGTGTGGCTTGCGTTTAAGACTGCTAGAAACCTCTGACGATTGAAGAAATCAAAGGTGAAGGAGAGTCCTATGTGCCTGTAAGCCTAGAAAAGAATGGAGCAATGATGAGTGCAACTCTAGCACTTTTAACCAAAGGGCTTGTGAATGCTTTATTCGCATCCCTATTGTATGAATAATTCAATTACATAATCTTTTTTTTATGCTTTAAATTAAGAAAGAATGAATAATACTTTTTGGAGTGGCAATAACAGCTCTAAAAAATAATGTGTTGTATTGAGTTATCATAGTTGTCGCGGCTTGCACACACCTTGTCTTGTTGTCACCAATCCAGTGATTAACCAGACCTTATGCAGAAAGTTCAATCTCAAGGGTGGTCCTTATTCTTTAACAAGAAAAGCCATTTTACTAGTAAGTTTGTTCAATAAAATTTGATACCTTAACTAAAGTTATTTATTTATCGTAAAGCTAAAAGGAACCTCAAATACAACACAAAACAAGGTGAATTAGTGCTCGGAAGTATTATTGAGATAATTAAATTACAAGAGAATACCTCCAATTCAGTTTCGGACATTGACATTGGCAAGTTGCATGTACATCGATTCACCATGCTTTGCAAATTGAGAAAGAGCATTATGAGATGAACCCCCTTCTTCCAATGCCTTTGCGGCACTTTCTTTTAGCTTCTTCATTCTTTCCCTCAAAACAAAGCCTTTTTGGTCCACCATAATCATTCTCACCATTTCCTCGATCTCTTTCCTCTCCACTACTTTTTTCCACGGTGGTACCTTGGACCGCACCGCCACCCCAAGCTCTTCTGTCAGAAGCGTGGCGTTCGTCCTTTGCTCCGCAAAAAGAGGCCAAGCAATCATTGGCACTCCGTTGGTTAGGCTCTCTAGGGTTGAGCTCCACCCACAATGCGACAAAAACCCTCCGACTGATGGATGGGACAAAATCTCCACTTGTGGGGCCCACAAAGGAATAACAAGCCCGAGGTCCTTGGTCCGGTCAATGAACCCTTCAGGCAAGTACTTTAACGGGCCTTCAACATCACCGTCAGTCGTAAAATAAGCCGCATCCGCAGTTGTTACGGTCGGGGATCGTATCACCCAAATGATCGTTGTTGGCTGAACTCCAAACCCCAAGCAAGCTCAATCATTTGCTCGTGCGACAAAGCCCCACCGCTACCAAATGACACGAAGATTACGGACTCATTGGGTTGCTTATCTAGCCAATCAAACACCTTACCCACCGAACGGTTGGACTCATTGGGCCTTATTATGGGCCCAATTGGATAAACGGGCACTGTCGAGTACCTGCCCAACAAGTTCTCATCTCTAAGCGCCGCAAGAGTAATGGGCTCTAGCTCCTTCCACGTGTTTAGCAAGATCCCATCACTACACTTGGGGATCCGGCTTGCAATCCCAACAAAATCATGGTAACGCTGGTCGGTTCGGTCCAACATAATATCAATGACATCGAGCCGAGGGCGTAACTCCCTACAACCTGGGATCTTCAACGGTTCTTTGTGGTCAACGAAGTTTCCTTCGACTTCCATGTCGAATGTTGGACAGCAAATCACGAACGACAAAAACCATGCATTGGAAGCAAAGAACAAGTACTTTGGAATCCCTAGCTCCTCGGCAATGGGAAATGATTCGGTGCCGAACAGGTCCACAATAAGCATGGTCGGGGTGAACTTCATGGCACATACGGCTGACCGGAAGACATGTCGCAGCTCTCGCATCTTTACGATCAGGTTTGCAGGCTTTGAAGTGTCCGGGGCTGGGAGTTGGACGATGTCACATATTTTTGTGCACGTGGCTGCCTTGAGTTCCGCCTCGGAAGACGGGAAGATGAAGATTGTGACGGCGAAGTTTTGGTGTGTGACGAGTTGTTTTCCGAGCTCGAGGACAGGGATGAGGTGCCCCATCCCCGGGCTGCAGAGAATAGCTGCATGTTGCTTGGAGCTCATGATCTCCGTTGGAACTACGGTTACAGAGGAGGTTGAGAGTTAGAGACTCGAATTCTCAAAGAAAAAACAGGTGCATGCAACGAGTAAGTCAAGTTTATAAGGAATTAAATGGCAGAGACATTATTGATTAGAAAAAGGAGAAAGCTTTGCTGCTGAAAAATCAGCAGCAGCTCCTGCTGCTAGCGAATCACGGATGAGCACGTATTCAAGTTGTGATTATAAAATCAATTACTTGAACACGTGTTCATCTGTGATTCTCTAACAGCAGGAACTGATGCTGATTTTTCAGCAGCCAAGCTCCTTTCTAAGAAAAATCAGCAGGGATTGATAAATTTTAGTTGAAGTGGGTGTGACGGTAGAAAGCACTGAACATAACGGGAATTGATTAATGATTTATTTAGTTGACTAATGCGCACAAATATGTTCATAGAAACTGTGTAATAAATCAGGAAAGACAACCGCTGGAGTTTTTTAGTTCACTTAATTGAGGTCAGGATTTGAAACTCGGCTTGGTTGGATTTCAAGCTAATAAAATTTAATTAAAAACTCGACGGTACATGAGATTTGATTTCACACTAAAACCCCAATTTCTATTTTAATTTTTCCAAATTGAATCATACGATACCAAAACCCTTCAGAGTAAAGAGTATTAGAGCCTAACTCATACAACAAAAAGAGAGAAATTAAAGAATTAAGAAAAAGGGAATACCTTGTAAAGTGCTTGTGCGTGAGCGAGGGTGAGTCTGTCGGCTGTCGGCTGTCGGCAGACTGGCTGAGAAGTGGTGGAAGAGGAAGACTATAACAAGAGTAGAAGATGAAGGCCAGGAAGACTATAACAAGAGTAAGGAAGACTATAACAAGAGTAGAAGATGAAGGCCAAGTCTTGTCCAAATTGCAACCTGTCTTTTTCCTTCCCCAGTGTTTTAAGAAAAACTTGGGTCCAATCCTGCGTACGGTTGTGGAAGAATTTGGATAAATAATAATAATAATAATAATAATTTTTAAAATCAAACGAACTATACGTCATACGTGTAGCTTCTGCCATATTTTTCAAGTGTAATACACGGTTTTTACTAATATAAATCTGTTGTTCAAAGAAAGATTTTTTTTTTCTTTTCATTTTGATGGAAAAATGAATTTAACGTAAATGAAAAGTTAGGAACTACTTGCCCATTTGATAATCATTTCGTTTTGAGTTTTTATTTTTATTTTTTTCAAAAGTGAAATATTATTTGATAAATACTTTCAGTTTTAAAAAAAAAAGAAAACTGTAAACCACAAAGTAAAAACTCAAAGCCAAATTTTGAAAACTTAAGAAAGCAATTTAGACTTGTTGATCAATAGTTTGGACTAGAAGAAATTTGGCTTTGAGTTTCAAAAATTGGCTTTGAATTTTCACTTTATGATTTTTAGTTTTCATTTTTTTTGAAAACTGAAAGTAGTTACCAAACAAGATTTTCAGTTTTCATTTAAAAATAAATAAAAATAAAGACAAAAAACTGAAAACGAAATGATTATCAAACGGCTCACACCCCAACCCTAACATCCAAGTGAATATAGAAATCAAGGCATGCCAACTGACACCCTGAAAGGTGACGAGACCATAAAGTGAAAGTGATGTGTAAAAGTACAAACTAATTAAAACTTAAAAGTAAAACGAAAATGCCCAATGTACAAGATGGACCCAATAAGCGTGTATTTTGGTTAGCTTTAAGGGGGCCTTTGTTTGGCCTTGTTAACTGGGACTGGACTGGACTAGACTGTAGTCACATGTTTGGTTTGTATTGGGACTAAGTTAAATGGGACTAAATGGGACTCGCGTGGATTAGAGGCCTTGCAAGGAGTTCTTAGCGAGACCCCCGCAAAACCACGGGATTGCTAAGACCTTCGTCTTCTCTCGTATGTTCCTGCACTTCGCATCATCTCTCTCCCTTCCTCTATCTCTTTGCATCGACAACCCAGACTCGGATCGATGTCGGCACCAACATCCAGTCCCTGGGCTTTTAACTTCTTTCTTCTATAGCCCCACCACTGTGGCTAGGCAGTCGGCAGTGCTTGCTCTCCCGTGGCCCGATCTGGAGGAACAACAGCATCTCACAACCGATGCAGCCACACCCACCGCTTAAATATCAAAATTCGACACGGCCCGCCGTCCACGCCCAACCCCGAAATCTCAAAATCTTGTCTGTTTTTTTTAGCGTAGAGTTGCAGATGGCGAAAAGAACCACCAAAATCCACCCAGATCCATATCATTTGCCATTAGTTGGGGAAGGAGTAGAGAAATGGATTGAAAAGGGGAGAGAAAGTTGTTATGGGGACGAAGAGAAATGGAGAGATGGAAAAGCAGAAAGATGGAGATAAGGACCGGACTGAACCAAAGAGGAGAAAAAGAAGTTTCCAGAGCAGGATTTTTTTGGAAAAACAAGGAAAAAAGTTGAAATAATAATAAAATATTATTAAATATGTATTAAAGAAAAAGAAGTTTCCAGAGCAGGATTTTTTTGTTAAGTATCTGCTTTTTAGTCCGACACTACACCAAACGCTTCACTAAGTTAGTCCAGCTTAGTTTAGTCTAAGCCAGTCCAACTTAGTCCCTGAAGCTAGTCCAGTCCGAGACAATCTAGTGCAACAAATGCACAAGTGTACTGAGGAGCCCCGAATAACTAATTAGTCTAATTAAAAAAAAGGCAAAAATATTGGAGCACTCCTGTTCTACAATGCTCAACACACGCACCTGTAGTTCTTGTGACGTTATTGAAATTGTTAGTGCAAAATTGATAATTTTTAACAATACGCTGAGTTGTAATGTCTTTGATTAGTGTGTGTTTCAATTGTGATTATTTTAGTCTAAATGTGTCTCTCATGCTTTCGATCACAAAAAAAAAAAAAGGCGTTTCAAAGACATCCACTCAAGTAAGTTCGTCATGTATATGCATTCATGTAGGTAGGTCTTGATATGTTTTTTGGTTGAAAAACGGGGCTAGAAGCGAGCCCAAACAAACCTACTCAATAATAAATCTAGACCTGGATATCCCAAGTCGATCATCATGAATAAAACTAATTGAACAAGAAGGAGGAGTATCAAAATAAAAATAACCTAAATCTAAATCAAGATTATAGGTTGTTAAATTGTCCGCCACAATTTTTTTTTTTTCTATAGACATGTCGAAGTTCATATTACCAAGATCTTCAAAGTAAATCTCAACAAGCCAACACAAGGGAACCTAAAAAATGATTATTGCCAGCAGCTTGATTAGGTCTTGATATTTAACTTGATTTGATTTTGGCTAACGTTTGAGTGGTTAAAATATTTTTGGAGCAGCCCAATAATCTTTTGGCTGCCATGATTTGAAAAGTTAGCTGCAGCCAATTTGATATTTTTGTATATTTATCAAGTTGATAATATCAAATGATTTTCAATTTCATCTTATTTGTTGCACATTTATTCCCAAGTAATGTTTTTAAATTAAATTATGTAAATTAAATGATGTGATTATTAATGATTAAATTATTATTTGAGTATCGATTAAGATACTTATTTTTTATTAATAAAATATCATTTAATTTATTAATTAAAATTAAAATTTTAATCTTCTAATATTACCTTGGCCTTTGTCCTCACATGTGCACAAAAGGACAGAAGAAAAATGTGCTGTAGCTTTTGATTTTTGAAGGAAGAGAAAAAGTGGGCTGCTGCTTTTTGGTATGACAGAAGAAGACAAATATTGTGATGTTGAAGCCAGAATATTGTGCAGAGAGTTCCATAGAAAATGGCGGATCTTTGGTGGAACATCGACCTTCCATATACAATTCCACAGCTTCTCCGGATAGATTGAACATGAGGTAGGCAATGATCTCTCACGCTCAGAGACCTAGATTGCAACCATCTATACCCAGATTTTACCATGTACCTACCATTTTTTGTTGCAGCCCAAATCAATCGATCTCTTCTACTAATATCCCCAATAGGCGTACCTTCAATTGCCTCTTGGTCAGCCACTGAAAGGAAAGGAAGCAGAAAAGTGATATCCCAATCACGAGACTGAGGACAAATAAGAGAGCTAACACGAAGGTTTCGAGTCACCATAGCCTCACCAAGCGGAGAAGGACGCCCTAATGGAATGGAGGGTAACCAGCGGTCAACCCAGACTCTCACATCCTGACCTTCCATAATTTTCCAGTGAGTTCCATTAATAAGAAGATCACGACCCGTAAGAAGGCTACTCCAAGCCCAAGATGCCCTACCCCCTTTTTTGGCATCCAAGAAAGAGCAATTGGGGAAGTAACGAGCCTTAATCACTCTAGCCCACAGTGAGGATGGTTCACAAAGAAAGCGCCAACATTGTTTTGCTAGTAGCGCATTATTGAATTCTATGAAGTTTCGAAAGCCCAAACCTCTCAAATTCTTAGAGAGGCCCAAGACCTTCTTCGACACCCAGTGAATTTTATTGTCGCCACCCATGTTTCCCCACCAAAAACCAGCAACCAAAGTGTCCAGCTCCTCACAGACCATAGCCGGAAATTTAAAGATATTAATTGGATATGCAGGTATAGCCTGAACAACCGCCTTAATTAAGACTTCCTTGCCTGCCTTCGAAAGGGTACTGTTTTTCCACCCTTGTAGTTTCTCTATAATTCTCCCCTTCACATAAGCGAGGCCCTGTTTCTTTGAGCGTCCCCATAAAGCCAGGACTCCCAAATAAGTACCCGGGTTGTCAACTACCGGCATGCCAAGAATAGATCCCAACTCCTCAGAAACTCTCACCAGAGTATTCGCCCCAAAGAATACACTGGATTTTTGCAAGTTTACTTCCTAACCCGAAGCATCACAGAACGACCTAAGGAGGTTGACAAGATTCTTGCAATTTTTCTCATTTGCTCTCATAAAAATTAGCATATCATCAGCAAAGAAAATATGGGATAGAATCGGCCCAGTGACTCCCAATTTCACACCATCCAAAGACTTGTTTTCCACCGCAACTTGGATCAATCTGGATGAAACTTCTCCAATCAAAATGAGCAAATACGGTGATAGAGGGTCGCCCTGCCGTAGGCCTCTAGACGGAGCAAACTTGTTTCCGGAATGCCCGTTGAGAATGCCAACAAACTTGACAGAAGTCACACATCCCATGATAAGTTTTCTCCACTGTTTGCAGAAACCCAATTTTTCCATTGTTGCCTCCAAGAAGTCCCATTCGACTCTATCATAAGCTTTTTGCATGTCCATTTTAATACCCAACTCGAACTTATTTTTTGACTTGCGCCCTTTCAGAAAATGAAACACCTCATGTGTTATCCCAATATTATCCTGTATCTGTCTTCCCGCCACAAAAGCATTCTGAGAAGGAGAAATAATCTGCGGTAGAATGACTTTTAACCTGTTGGTATGGTGGCTTACACTTGTTGGTATATTTAGAAAGCCAGGTGTGCTTTTGTGTTTAACCAGGTGCGAATCAACCTTTTAAGTGTTGTTTTGGCCATCTCTAATGCGGTGGGGTCTTTCTTGGCTGTTTCTAACGGTTTAGTGGTCACTAGGGTTCGGGAGTGTGTCGGCCAGGCTCCAGGTCGAGCCACTTTTTGGGTTCCTCCTCCTCCCCCTTTTTACTAAAATAAATGTTGATGCCAGCTGGTTCAAGATGTTGTGTTCGGGGTTTGTGGGAGTGGTTTTACGTGACGCTGAGGCACATTTCATTACGGCAGCTCGATACCACATTCGGGCCCCCTATGCTGCTGTTGCTGAAGCTATGGCTTTGATTCGCGGATGTGAACTGGGTGCAGCTTTGGGTTTTTCTGAGTTAATTTTTTGCCTTTCAAATTCTATGGAGAATGGCAGTTGGGAGGCTTCTCCTACTTTAGAAAGGGTGAAGCTCTTGGGGGAAGCCTTCCAGAACTGTCGCT